AAAATGGCTACTGACCGCTCTGTCGGTTTCGTTCGTTTTGCCAACCACCATCGTTTTATGTTAACGCTTGCTGGGAGGTCTTGGGGACCCCAAAGGGGTTTTGCATTCTGTGTTTTTGTTTCGGGGTGTATTGGATTCGGGTGGCAGCTGAAACTATTTGGGCTGGCTGGAAATTAACTTGTTGAAGTAATATCAGGACTGTATTTAGGACGAACGGGCGTGCCGTTGCACCTCTGTCACACCGCTGAGCGGATCGAGGAATGCCCTTGCTATGGCGCATCGCGATCCGACAACCAGTCGCGTCTGAGGAGGGGGGCGGTAGGGGAGAGGAGGGGGAGGAGGCGAAACCAGAAGGGAGGACGGAAGGGGTAAGAAGGACGGGAGAGAAGGAAAATGGAAGAGGATGGGGAGGCATTGGGAGATTGACAAAAGCGTCGGGACCCCCGCCACGATTCAATGCGAAGTGTTGTGCGTAATTTGACATGGTGAGCTGAGCAAAGCATAGCATAGCTTCCCTTGTCATTATTTGTTGTCCCTCTCCCTCCTCCTCCTCCCTCCTCATGATATCCTGCCTCTTGGTTCTCTCCTCTCGTCGTGTTTCGTTTCCTCATCTCCTCCTCCCGTCGCGCCCTAGTCTCTGAGAGCTCGAAGTACGTATGTAACAGATGGTGGGTGACGAGTGGCAGAGGCGGGCGAAAACATGTAGCAAAAAATGAGACTCTTGCACAGCAAAGGCCATCGCACTTACGAGGATACAAGACGCATTGGCCAAATCAAAAAATGAGGAAACAGAGCATCTGAGCTAGCAGCTGCGCCCAGCTGCTCAGGAATGCAAGACCGTCCTAACATCCGTATTGCCCCCAAAGGCAGAACTGGACATCGCGACCGTGGTTCCGCCCCTGACAAACAGCCGAAACATCCTCCTCGCCAGTCCGCCTCCCCCAGGAGGGTGGCGCGTGGGTAACGCTTTTCCTCCCTCCTCCCCCTCTGCCCCCTTCACATCGGTAGGGCTTTTGCATGGTCATAAGGGGGCCATCGATGGGAAAAACATCAAACATCCTAAACAATATCGGGTGACAACAAACGCGCTGGGTCAAACAACACGTGTTTCCCCCCCCCCTTGTAGTAGTTCTTTCTGGTGCAACCACTTACTACTGGAGTCTCGAGCTTCGTCACGTCGTAGCTACGGCTACATAGAACTTGATTTGGGCAGCCATTTTGGCTACCTGATTTCCCCAACTTCTAGCTATTTAACTATATTCAAGGGACAGTCCTTACAACCCAGACATGCGCGGGCCGCAGACGTCTCGGCCCCGTACCTTCCCATGGGGGCAGCCCTCCGCCGCGGATCCCGTTGTGACGTCGGAGAGCCAGCCTCGGTCGAAGTTCGCTCTGGCCAGAACCTCATGGCGGCCCCGGCCGTGCCCGTGAGGGCGCCCCTATGAGGCCCAAGAAGGCCCTCAAGACCTCGATCCTCGAATCCTCGATCCTCGAATGCTCGATCCTCGAATCCTCGATCCTCGATCCAAGAAGGCCCTCAAAACCTCGATCCTCGAATGCCGAACCTCGCCCCGAGCCTTCTCGGCGGCAGCGGCGGCGGAGCGCGCGCCTCCGCTTCCAGGGCCCCCTTCATGTCGCGGGGGGGCAGTCCGGCGGCGCGGCACTCTGCGAGCACGCCCTGGACCTCTGAGCTTTCGGGGGGGGGCAGGAGGAGGAAGCGGAGGAGAAGGAGAAGGATAATGAGGGGGAGGTAGAGGAGGAGAAAAATGATCATAGCACATCCAAGATGTATTAACGATGCGTCGTCTTCTTCTTCGTATTATGACTCTTATCATTTGTGCGTGCCGTGCATTCTTTGGGTGCAGCATTGGGCAAATTCTCATGGTTCGAGAAATTTCTGTGTCGTGCCGTGCCGTACCTGGTTTGCAGAATGCGGAAAAAATACCAAAATACCGTGCCATGTCGTGCCGACCATGTGTTGCATCATGCAGCTTCGGTGTTTCGGGCCTCTATGCCGGTGTTTTTTAGGGGGGGACTGCTGCGAGTGTCTCGCTTCTCCACAACTCCTCGACCGGCGCCCAGCTCGGGCTAGCGCTGATTCCCCTTTCGGTCACACGGGAGCGCCCGTCAGATCTTGAAGAGAGACGGCAGCTGAGCGAAAAGGGGCAAGGGTTCCTATGCAAGATGCCATACGAGATCTTACGCAGTGGCTTACCCAGAGCACTCAGGCAGCTAGCGAGGCGAAGAGAAATGACATCTGCTGCGCTCTGTCTCCATCGACTCGGCTCTTTGAGTCGCCAGCCGCTGGAGCTCTCGGCGCCCTTCCCTGGGCCGGCTTTCCATCCAGAGTTGCTTCTGTACGGTCCGCGGCCAAGAAGCGGCCCCAGACACCGATGGGGGAAAATCCACTGGGTTCGGGGGTAAAAATCGGCGCCTGGCCCTGTACAGGGCTGCGTTCTGGCAGAATGTAAATGACATTTCAGTTGTCATCACGTTCTCGATCCAGGGCGCCCAAGAGGGCACCAACACATTCTCGATCGGCCGCCCTAGTAATATTTGAAGATTGGGCGCCGGGGCAGCGCACCGCGACGGGGGCGTCGGACGTGCGACGTTGCTGAATATTTCGCCAACGCACGGTCTTATGGCCGATGGACTGCCGATCGTGGCCAAATCGTTGGGGCTACTCGGGCAGCGACGAAAAGGGAAGAATTGTACGCACGATGGCAAAGCGACCGTGTGCGGTAGCTTGCGCAAGCCGCTCACGCAGAAAACCGCGTGGAGAAGAGTGCGCCTACGCGCGACTTTACGCGGGAAACTTACGCGCCAATATCCGTACAGACGGCTCCGTTGTTCTACATCGCACATTTGGCTGCGCGCGCAAGGGGATGGGGCGAAGAAGGCGCCTGCCAAGAAGGCCAGGAGCTTTTTGGAAAGAATCGGGATCTTCTGCGAAAGCTGTTTAAGAGGCGCCAATCAACAAACAAAAAAACATGTCTTCATAGAGGGCCGACCCCTTCGCCCCACCCCCTTGTGCTCGCCGCCGAGAAAAATAATTGCGCCAAAATCTCGCGCGCAGGAAGAAGTTCCGTGTCCGATTTGCGCCACAAGCCGCCACACTACGACGGAATGCCACAACGCGGCTCCGTCAAATAGCATCTGCCTAGAAGTCGGCAAGGTGCACGGCCCGCTGCGTTTCAGAAGCTGCATCTGATATGTGACAAACCAATCACAGACACAGCGCGCGAGGAAGGGTGTGCATCCTGGGGGGAGCTGGTGGGGGTCAACCACGAGGCAGCGCCAGACAGGACGGCTGAGCTCCTCGGAAGCGCCAGGGGGTACGCAAACTCAAAAGGGTGCGCTCCGGCGGGAGGAGCGCAGGGACCGACTGCACAGATGGCCGAAGACCATGCCGAAATGTGACGGTGCCGGCAAGGGCTGTACGGACAGCGGCCGGGGCACGCGATGGCTCGACAAAGATAGGCGAAGCTGAGGGGGGGGGCGCCTGGTCCAAGTCCCTGCTGTGGCGCACCGCCGCCACTTTCTCCTTCCGCCCACAGGATTGGGCATGGGGTTGCAGCAGGGAGGAGGCAGTGGTGGAAGAAGTGGACGAAGAGCAGGAATGAGACTAATCCGTCGCCCTCCGCTTTGTTAACGGCTCGGGGACCTGGAGGTGAGGCGGCTACGGGGAGCCGAAAATCAATAAAAGCCTCTCGCGCGATTGTTCGGGTCGCCAGAGGTCTGGGCCTCAGAATCGGCGGCTTGCCCGGGGAGGAAGGCAGGGGAGAGAGGAGAAGAAAGAGAAGAAGGAGGAAGAGGAGGAGGAGGAGGGTACAAGAGGCGGTGGAAAGAAGGAGGAGGCGGAGGAGGCGGAGGCGGAGGAGGCGGAGGAGGAGGGGGATGGGGGAGTGGGACAGGGATGAGGACGCAGAGGGCTCAGAAGGCCTCCGGCCGTCCGAGAGGCTCTCTGGAGCCGTCCTCCCCCGGAGGCCGCGCAAGGTTCTCCCACTGGGGGGCCCGAGGGTTTCCGAGAAGCCCCGCCGCCCTCTGAGCGTGCCTGCCCCCTCTCGCGGCCGCCCCTCGGCGGCGCTTCGGGCGGGTGGTGATAATGGGGGGTGGCCGCGACGGAGGGGGGCGGGGGGGAAGGAAGGAGAGGGCCCTAAAGGGGCCCGTTCAAACTTTGTAGGGCCCCTCTTTGGAACCAGCCTTCTGGGCCCCTGCTGGCTCCGAGCGGAGCCCCAACGTTTTGCAGGGGCCCCTGACGGGCCCGTTCCTGCCCCCCCCCCCCCCCCCCCCCCCCCTGTTAGCCACCCTTCACATTACCGCCCGCACGAGGCGCGCCGAGGGGGGACGCGAGAGGGGGCAGGCATGCCCAGAAGGCGGCGGGGTTTCTCAGAAGCCCTCGGGCCTCCCAAGAAAATCACCCTGCGGCCTCGGGGAAAGAGGCAGGAGAGTCCAGAATCGAATCGATAAGTCGGATCGGCGATCGACATGAATCGGATCGGCGGCAATCGGCAGCCGAGTCGGGAAAAGTCGGATCGGCGGAAATCGGCAGGCTGGTATGCGTCCACTGCAAAATCGTGACCCAAATCGGAATCCTAAGTCGAATCGAATCGGAATCGGAATCCATCGAAATCGCATCGGGGGAAAATGAACCCTGAAGAGGGCTCTCCAAGAGAGCCTCTCAGACGGCCGGAGGCCATCTGAGCCTTTCGCGGGGGCCGGCACTTTGGACTTTGGGTCCCATCCGCTGCCGCCCTCCCGAGGCGCCGCAGGGAGTCGAAAGACCTCTGGTGCTCTCCTCCTCCTGGTGGCCGAACGGCCAGGCAGCACGCACGAGAGAAATGATCGTCATCATAACCATGCGGAGGCGTGCTGATCTTTGACTGATAGCTTCACTCTCTGTCGACAGTTCGGCGGGCCCCCGCCTTCATCTGTAAGCCAAAGGCTGCGGCGGGCGCAGGCATGCGGCAACGCTCGCTCCCGCTCTCCCTTGCAGCCTTTCACTCGGGTCGGGAATTCGAGCGCTCTGCGCGGCACTCCAGCACACTGCGCACTGAGAAGGCCACTGGCTGCAGCCCGCTCAAGCGCCACTCATTGCTGAAGCCCAGCTTCACGAGGGCCGTCCGGTCGAGCTCGCCCTTCGTCAGCCCGCCCGCCAGCATGTCCACGGTGTCGATCCAGCTGAGCTGTGCCAGCTGGAGGCGGTCGATCTGCTCACGCACTGCGAGCGTCGGCACGAACATACGCTTGTCCGTGGTCACCTCGATGGTGGCGGCGGAGACGGCGTCGAACACTGCCTTCGCGTCGATGGCCGCGATCATCTTCAATACTAGGTCGCCGGCCTCCTGCCGCACTCGCATCTGGTTCGCCGTGCATACTCCTTCACTGATCTCGGTCAATGCCACATTCATAAGGGTGCCGGTGCCGAGTGCGTCCAACAACGCCATGAGCTCGGCGGCGTAGGTGGACCTGACTACGTTGTTCTGCTTTCTGCTGTACCAGTCAAGCATCACGATCCTGTACGTCGATTTGGTTTGAAGCACATCGTCGTCGGACTCCAGCAGCATGATCACACATCCTCGGATCGCCAAGCCTTCGAACTCCATGGCGTGGAAGGCTGAGTCGCTGACGACGGCCAGCCGCACTCGTGTCATGTCCAACTCGATGAACCGAACTCCGAGCTGATTCGAGTTCACCATGATCCACTTCAGCAGCCTGTTGATCTTCCGGATGTCTCCGACCGACGGCTTCTTGGCCTGCCGCTGGAGATAGCTGACGTACACTGCAATGGGCGCCATCGTCTGCGTCATCCATGCGATCCCCCCGAGCAGCGACATATGCGCCGCGTGGGTCTCCACGCTCACCTGGCCATCTTCGTTCTCCATCACATACTGATCTTCCTGGAGCGGTCGCAGCTGCTGAACGTAGTGCTGCTGATGCGTCCAAATGGCCTTGGTCACAGCGTCCTGCTCGTGCATGATGCCAATGCACTCAAAGCAGTCGTACTGGCGCTTCAACTTCCCAAACTCGCTCTCGATCATGCTCAGTACCTTCTCCCGCAGGTGGTCCTCGCCGCCGCCCTTGAGGTCGTCCACGTGCGAGGACATGATCATCTGCAGCTCGCCCTTCGCGTCGTGGTACACGTAGGTCTGCGGGTCGCTGATGAGCGCCTTGCCTCCTGTTTTCTCCGGCACTTGCTTCAACATGACCTGCCACAGCCTCGGCGCGTCCTTCAGGCCGAAGCCGCAGCGCAGGAGCAACAACACCTCTGTCACAGGGTTGTAGTCCTCGTAGCCCTCCAGCTGCCGGAGGACTGGGATCGATCCTGGCGGCATCGTGAACTGTACCTTCCGCTTGACCTCGCCGTCCATGGCGGCAACCTGCTCGAAGGTGAGACCGCGCAAGAACGCCTGGCTGATGTCCGCTGAGAATAATCGCCACTTGCGCTGTGCAGTCACCTGATTCACCAGTCGTTGTCCCCATCGTGTCGTAGTACCCGCAAAAGTGGACAGCTCCGGTGACTGCATGTCCTTGAAGCCTCTCACCGTGAGCCTCGCGCGCACCTGCTTCTTGCCGTCGATCTCCTTCCACTTGAGCACCCAGCGCGAGTCGATGATGTTAGTCGCCTGGTCCTTCGGGAAACGCTGGAAGCCTTCAACTCCGCCCAGCGCTGGAGCTCGTCCTTCATGGCCTGACGTACTTCAACTTCGTGAGCTCGGGCCTCTTCCAGCGTGAGCACGTTCATCTCACGCTCGACGACAGTCTCGCGCTTGCCCGTGTTGTAGACGCGCAGGATGTAGATCTCCCCTGACCCAGGTCGTCGTATGTGCTCCACCTCAGGGTGCACCCAGTACATGAGCGGCGCACCTATGCCGATCTCGACGCAGTCGGGTCGGGAATTCGAAGAATCATCCTCTACTGCCTCCGACACGTGATCTGCGTCAGGGGCTGCGAAGAAGAAGTCGTTCTGAGCGCACTCGGTGTCAACAGCAGGCAGAGCGGCCTGCTCCTTCAGGTGCTGCCAGCTCGCGAACAAGTACTCCTGGGTCGCGTCGCTGTCCGAATCGCCGTCGTCGTTCTTGCCACCATCATCTTTGATCGGGGGCACTGGCTCATGCAGGGGTGCAGGAGCCTCAGCTGCCGCCGCTGGCTCGCCTGCACCTCGGGCTCCATGATCACGGTCCGGGCCATCACGTGAGCGCGATCTCTCTCGAGCTCCCCCGCCTGGCTTCACAGGCGGCTTCACAGGCGGCACGGTGGTGTTGGCAGCGGCCGGAGCAGGGGAAGGCCCTCGTGGTCGATGTTGCCCTCGGTTGCTCCGACTCCTCGTCGAATCCGATGCTGCACTCGTCTGCCTGGATGCGCTCGATATGCTCGTGTCGGGCACTGGCATTGATGCACTTGTCTGTCTAGATGCGCTCGGTATGCTCGTGTCGGATATCGGCTTGTCCTGCCAGGTCATGTCGAAGTCTTCCTCCTGAAGCTCCGGCGGCTCCTGAAACGGTCCGGGTTCAGGTCGCTCTGGCTGTTCATACCGTCGTGCGTGTGGAAGGTTGCCGAACCACGGACCCCCAAGATGCGGAACCTCGGGTTCACGTCGCCGAAGTTCGCGAACGGACTCGTCGTCTGTCATGATGAACTGCACGAAGCTGACGTCCCGCCAGTGTTCCTTGCCAAATATCGGAGCCAACTTCAGTCGAGCAGATCCCGACGCCTCGTGGTACCAAGACAGCTCTGGGCGTCCGCGTCGCCACCACCACAGGAAGCTGTGGTCGCATCCGACCATTCCCTCGAGCACGGACACGCCATTGCCCACTCGCGCGCCGATGCACCCCACCAGGTAGAAGCCACTGGCGGCAACGTGCAACACCGCCAGGACCAACTCGCTGAGCTTCTGGCTGTCCGCGGTCCGCTTCCACCCGGCGTCGAAGAGCCACCCGACGCGCACGACCTTGCTGTCCAGCTGGTCCGCGTAGCTCATGATGGTGGCCACCGGGTCGCGCGATCCTGCCTCGAAGAAGATGTTATTCGTGAACATCACGAAGTAAACGAGGCTTCGCCGAAGGTCCTGAGGTCGCACTTGAAATACTCGGCCCTGCCATCGAATGAGCACTGGAGGTCCGACCTGCAACAAGGTCGCCGGGCCGCGCCATCCCGACTCCTCCTTCGTGCTCGGCGGCCGGTGGAAGTCAACCTGGTCGCCGACCACCAGCTGCAGCGCCTCGTGCGGGGCGCGCGTCTTGGATCGCAGTGCGCGCCTCAGCCTGTCCTTCGCAGTCATCTCCACCATGGCTTGTATTGCGACTTCGCGGAGCCGATGATGGTGTCGGGAGATCCCTGGAATGCCAGCCGATTGGTCGTCGATCTGGCAGTCGCTCACCGGCTCGAACTCGGCGAGCAGGGGCGGAAGTTGGCCGTGCACCGCCTGGTAAGGGCTGTAGCCAGCCACGGTGATGAGAAGGTTCTTGATGAGGGCACACTCCATGATCACGATCTCCAACGGCATCACAATGCCTTCTTCCGCAAGCTGGGCCTGCACGCGGTGTATGATCTTGCGCACTAGGTCGTGATGGCGTTCCACCAGCTGCGCGTGCGAGCCCTCCTCTTTGGCCTTCATCTCAATGCCCCAGCGGTCCAGCCACTGGTACGCCTCCTCGCCATGGAGACCGCCCTCGATGTCGGCAATCAGCAGCTTCATGGGGCCATGAGGGCGTAGCCATCCCTGAGTGATGCCGGCGATAATCATGATCGCTGTCTTGCGTTCCAGAATGTACAGCACCGTCCAGCGGGTCGCCTCATCGATCATATGTGCTACCATCTGTTCGCCGATGTAGGGGATGTCCCACTGCACCATCTCGTTGAAACCCGTCGCGAGCCGAGAGATCGTCATGCTCTTCGGTCCCGGTCTCGTCCATAGCCTACACACCCGGCACGTGTCGCAGATCTCCTTCACCAGGGCCAGCGTAGAGGCAGGAGCGCCGGCCTTGGTCAGCAGCTCTCTAAGGCGAGCTGCTGGAGCGTGCCAAAATCGAACATGAAGTCGTCGAAGCTGGCGCCGAACGACTTCCTGGTGTGGGCTGTGCAGCAGTCGAAGCGCGTGCCCGAGGTCAAACGCGGTCCAGCCTGGCTCGTCACTTCCTCGAGCCTGCGTCCCCGCATCCACGCCTCGGGCCGGCGCGGCTGGGGCCGCAGCCGGCTGCTCCGCGACGGGCGCATCGCCGATGGCGTCCGCCGATCCCGAGGCGCCGCCTGATGTCTCGTCGGGCTCCGCCTCTCCAGCTGCTGGCAGACGCGATCGCAGTCGCCGTGCCGCCGCTGTCGCTCGAGCCACTCGAGGTCGACGCTCCGCAGGCACAGGTGGAGGCAGTGGCGGTTCAGGTTCGGCATCTGGCGCGTCGGCTCGCGCGGCGCTCGGTGCCTGGTTCGCAGTCGGCTCCTCGCAGTCTGGTGGTTGTCTCGGTCGTAGCTCTCGAGGTCCAACTGCTCTTGGGAGAACACTGTCTGCTCGGCATTCTCCAGGTATTCGGGTATGTCGTGCGTCTGAGGCCGCGCGACCACTCCGGCAAGCCGGGCACTTCAGGTCGCGATTCGTCGGCACAAATCTATGCTTGCATGTCTCCCCTCGATCATGGGCTGGGTGGTCAGCCGGCCGATGATGCCGACATCCAGCGCACGGCTGCGCAGCGCGCGGTACTCCTGCTGTAGACGCTGCTGCTGGTGATGCCGCTGCTGCTGCTCCTGAAGCTGGTGCTGCGGCTGCTGCTGCTCCAGAGGCTGGTGCTGCGGCCGCAGACGCCGAGGAAGCAGAGGAGCCAGCTGGTCCGGATTGCACAGCGGCCGTGGGGTAGCACTCGTACACCACGAGGTGGTGTCCCTGATGCCTCACGCGCTCCACCATCTGGGAGATGCTCGCCGCCAGCTCCCGGCAGATGCCAATCGCCCACTCCGCGTGATCCTTGGGGTTCTCTAGTCGCCATTTGTCACGCTCTGGATGGGGTCCTCGGCCAATGGGCCAGCAAAGCGTGATCGTGCTGGCCGTCGCAGCGAAACTTCCTGAGTCCGGCGAGCAGGCGCTCGTCCGAAGCCCAGAACTCAGAGGACTTCTTGATCGGTAGTCCCGTTCGCCGCCCGATCTTGCCGGCCATGCACTGGTCGACTTGGCACCACGCCAGCGCGTAGTTGTTGGCGATGCATTGCCAGTCGTCGAGCTTGTAGAAGTCGCTGCCCAACGGCTGCTCCGACACAAAGTGGCGTCCGGCGTCCATCTGAGTGCACGCCGCTGCAGCGGCGATGCGGGCCAGCCCCACTGATGTCTTGCGACTGCGAAGCCAACCGTCGTAGTTGATGACCTTGTTGAGCGCCGAAAACCCTTTTCAAGCTCGTACAGGGCGTGCTAATGAGTAAGACAAGAGGCTTGCCATGATACAGATATTCCCAAAACTGCCTCTGGCCCTCGTGCGTCATCAGATTGCAGTCGCAAATGAGATCGAAGTTGGGACCGCCCCGATATCCTCGTCGCACGAGTAGCCGGGTTGTTCCAGATGCGCCGCGACGTCGTCGCGCTGCAGGTGGCCGTAGTAGAGGTTCATGTGTGTGTCCATATCCTTGACTGAGCTGAAGAATTTCTGCTGCTCGTCTTTCTCGTTCAGGTGCGCCTCCGAGCCGATCATGCCAAAGAACTCGGACATCATGATGTACGGTTGCTCATCGATGTGCTGGTCCTCCCTGAGCTCGGCGCCGTAGCACACCTCGTCCAGCTCGCATTCGTTCGCTACGTAGAGTTTCGTGAAATCGGAGCCGCAGTCGTCGAAGACCTGCTCCACTGTCTGTGGCCTCTTCTTCACCTTGCGCTCCGGGTCTGCTGCCTTGCGCGCCTTGTCGCGCGTCCTCTGCTCGGTGGGAAAGCTCGCGGTCAGCGCGCTCACCTTGCAGCCGGTCTCGTCGACGTCGTCCGCGAATGATACTCGGCCAGGGCGACGTCGCTCACCCCGTGGCTGCTCCTCGTCGACTTCTCTCAAGGCCGCTGTCCGAGATCCCGGAGGCCCGGTAGTCGTCGGATCAGTCCTCGACGACCCGGGTCGGGAATCACCCCCGGCCTCACGGCGTGGTGTAGCTGTCGCAGATGGCGACAATCCGTCGGCTGCGTCGGATCTCGCGCCGCCGTCGAAGCAACCAGCGGCCACCATCCGCTTGACCAGAGCAGATACCCCTCTGGCCTTGAAGTCCAATCGATCTGCAGCAGTCTTCCGTGTAACATGTCGGCCTGCTGGCCAGCCGCAGCGGCACTTCGCGTCGTGGTCGTCGAAGTAGCTGCTGCTGATGATGCGTGTAGTCTGAGCTGCTGGTGATCCTCGAGCATCACGCGCACCGAGATTGCACCATCGTAGTCGTCCTGAGTGCCACCTCCTGTCGTCCAGCAGCTCCAGGATGTCGGGCATGTCCCACGCCGCGCTGCCCTCGTCCGCCTCGACGATGCAGCAGCGATTCCCTTCAAGTTGAGCTCGAGCGATCTTACATTCGAAGCGCTTGGCTCGCTTGTCGTTGTGAGTGCCTCGCGACGTGCCCGGCTGAGCCAGGCTGATCCAAACGAGCTCCGGCTGCTGGTGGCGCAAGGAATCCGCCCACTTATCCTCCTGCCCGAGGAATCTGTGAACATCACAGTTGCGACCCACCGCATATCCGCATCCGTGCAGCGCGTTCTGGCACAGGTTCTGCAAGTCGCCGAACACCCATGCCGATGGCGGTCTCCCCTGTACTTCCCTGGTGCCCCCGCCGTCCCGAGCACCGAGATGGGGTGTCTTCGATCAGAGGTGCAGGCTGCCCGCATCGGGCTGCCCGCTGGCGCTGTCCGATGCGGCACCGCTGCCGGATGACGTCGCAGTAGTGGTCTTCCTGCTTGCCGTCCTGGTGGGCGCGGTGGTCGGTGCGGTTGCTGCAGGTAAGGATGTCGAATCTGATGTCGTCGAAGTCGCCGATGCCATCGTCCTCGTGGGTCCCGAACTCCCCGATGTTCCCGTCTCGTCGTAGAGGTCGCAGGGCAGCAAGAGGTGACCGGCGTGGCTCTCTTCCAGATGGTACTGCGATGATCCTGGGCTCAGCTGCAGAGAGTAGCCGCCCGGGCCGATGCGGTACATGCGATTGTTGAAGCAGTCGAGCAGTATGCGCTGGTCCCGCAGCGATGCTCGCCCGAGCAGTGCCGGCACGCTGCTGTTCGGGAGCACCGGCGCCTCGTAGGTCGCGGCTTGTCCTCCCTGCAGCGCCAGTTGATAGCGATGGGCGCGCGTGGCCTGCTGAGATCCTGAGCCCACACCACCAACCTCAAGCACCCGGTCAAGTGGGGTGCGGACAGGCGGTGGACGTCCTGCCTGCTGCTGTCGCGCTGCCATCCTGTTGCCCCACTCGTCGCCAGTAAGGTTGCCTGGGCTCCCGGGGTCCACCAGCAGAGCCTCGCCACTCCTGTCCTTCATGCGGGTGCGAACCAAGTAGGTCTCCCCGCTGGCGTTCTCGAACTGATCCACTCGCCACCATGGGAACCATGTCGGGCTGGTCACGGCCGCTGATCGCCCAACTGTCGCCGGAGGCTGCTCCTCCACAGCTCGGTCCTGCATGCTGGCCTGGATCTCCGTCAGTATGTCGTGCTCCGCGACGTTGTCGCGCATGTCAAGGGTCTCCCAGCTCAGAGCCTCGCGGGAGGTGTCCTCGTCAAGATCGTCGATCTGCAGGCCGGGCGTCCTGGCGTCCTCAGTGAACCAGTGCAGCACTCCAGACAAGGCTCCAGTCCGCGGCTGCGCGGGCACGGGCGCATAGGCGGCCAACGTTGGGTCGGCGGCTGGAGCCCCGGCCTGCTGCGTCCCCGTCGCGGCGCTGCCAGTGTTCCAGGACATGAAGTGCTTGCCTTTGCCCTTGCCCTTGCGCTTGGGACAGGCGGCCACGAGGTGAGTCTCCGAGTCGCACTCGTGACACCGCATCGTGCGGCCGTCACTGCCTCGGGGATTGGTGGCGCCGGGCGTGCCAGCCATGTAGCGCTTGCCGCCCTTCTTCTTCTTACCTTTTCCTCCCGCCAGTGAGCCTGGGTTCACCACCGATCCGCCGAAGTGGTATCCCTTGCCGTGGCCTCGCCCGCGTCCAAAGCTGCTGCCGCCCTTGCCGCTGTTCATGCGTAGAGACCAGTTGCTGCGCGGGAACCGAGAGCGGCGGCTGTTCCGTTGGACGAAGTGGCGAAACCTGCGCTTCGCGAACAGGTACTCATGTAGCAGGGTGTCGTAGTCCCAGCCCTCGGAGTCACCATAATACTCCTGCAGTTCTTCCTGAGTGAACTGGGAAGTGTCCAAGTCGTCGTCGTCGGTCATCGAGTCATCGTCCCCGGGCTCGTCCTCGTACAGGTAGCTCGAGCAGACGGCGCAACAATCGTAGCCCTCGTCGTCCTGGACCACGTAGTGCTGTGGTGCAGATCCAGCGCTCCCTGCCACGCTGGCTGCGTTCTGACCATACATGTAGGCGGCCGTGTCGTTCCAGGTGTTTGCGCCGCTGTCATTCTCGCCCGTGAACCAATGATGACCGTGATATCCTTTGCCGCGGTACCCTTCAGCCAAGTTCTGAGGTCCTGCGTGGGTGTGCTCCGCGAAGTGGCCCTGCTGCCGCACCATCCCGATCACGCTGTTCAGCTGATCGATCGTCAATGGCAGCTGGCCGCTGTTGGACTGCAGCACCAGGGGGTACACAGCCTTGGGCACATGCAGGGCCTCCAGAAACAACAGCGAGAGCACCGGCGTCGGCAGCACGAACGGGTCGTCCAGCTGCGCCACTCGGGCGCGCAGAGCCTCGAAGCGCGTGATCGCGTCATCGACGCTCTCCCGCTCCTGCCTGCGGAATGTGAGAAGCTCGACGATGGTGCTGATCGATGACTGGACGTCGAGCGGGCCAAAGCGCCGCCTGAGTCCGGTGATCAGCATCTGCACTCCGTCCTCGACCAGGTTGCCGAGCTGGTCGAACCTGCCGTGAGCGATGGCCTCGACCGGCACCTCGCGGCAGAGGTCCCTCGCCGTGCCGCCGAGCCGCTGGACGATTGCCGGGCCGCGCTGGTGCTGCTGCAGCTCCGTCGCCGCGCACCACAGCATCACGTCCTGGACCCACAGCCTGAAGGGGTACCCGCGCTGCTCGAGGTACGGAGCCCAGAACGGCGGGACCTTGGATGTGCTCTGCTGTGCCAGCTCTGCCGCCGGCAGACCCTGTACGTTCTGCTCGTGATGTTGTCCCCACTGTGGCGCCGGTAGCCGCGACTCGCCGATGCGCTGGCCGCGCTGCGGCGTCTTGGGCCTGAAGCCCAGGGGCTCTGCCGAGCCCGCTACGTTGATCAGGATGCCGAGGAGACCGATGAGCAGCACGATCTTGCTCGGCGTCGAACTCGTCGAAGAGGAAGAGCATCCAGTACTTGATGATATCGTGGCCTGCGCAAGGCAGGCCGCACATGGAGCGGTCGTAGCACAGCAGGTACAACGCCTTGAGCTCGACTCAACCCCATTGCCGTGGTCGCCACGCTGCGGCCTCTCGCCGCCCACGTCGCACGCAGAGCCGGCCGGACTTGCAGCCGACCCTGCAGAGCCCACCGGCTCCGCTACCAGAGTCGTAAGACCTCTGGTGCTCTCCTCCTCCTGGTGGCCGAACGGCCAGGCAGCACGCACGAGAGAAATGATCGTCATCATAACCATGCGGAGGCGTGCTGATCTTTGACTGATAGCTTCACTCTCTGTCGACAGTTCGGCGGGTCCCCGCCTTCATCTGTAAGCCAAAGGCTGCGGCGGGCGCAGGCATGCGGCAACGCTCGCTCCCGCTCTCCCTTGCACCCTTTCACTCAGGGGGGAGGAGGAGGAGGAGAAGGAGGAGGAGGGAGGAGGAGGAGGAGGAGGAGGAGGAGGAGGAGAAGAGGAGGAGAGGAGGAGGAGGAGGAGGAGAAGGAGGAGGAGGAGAAAGGAGGAGATGGAGGAGGGAGGAGGAGGAGGAGGAGGAGGGGGAGGAGGAGGAGGAGGAGGGAGGAGGAGAGGAGGAGGAGAAGGAGGAGGGGGGAGGAGGAGGTCTCTGGAGGCCCTCCTCCCCTGGAGGGTCCCCAGGGGCGGAAGGCCTCCCGAGGCCCACGGGGGCGGAGAGCATCCAGAAGCCCAGAGCCGCCCACGAGCGCCCTGTCGCTCACAGAAGGAGGGCGGGGGGGAGGCCCAGACCCCCCTCGCGTCGCGACAAAAATCACAACGTTTTTTTTTGGTGTTCCTGTGTTCGGCCTCCGGGGGCCCTCACCGGGCCCCGGGACCGTCAAGAAACGGCTCAGGGTGAAACGCCGGCCACGGGGAAGGGGTCCAGACCTCTGGGGGTCGACGTCGTGGGGGTCTGGAGAGGCGATGACCGACGACGGACGGACGGGGCGGAACCAGGCGGGCGGATCGACAGGCGTATCCGTGGGTACTGATACTGACCACAACCGCTACGCCCCCGCTCGAACTGCAATCAGTGCAACTCCTCCTCCTCCGCCTCCTCCTCGTGGAGTTCCAAACGCGTGTAGAGGCTCCTGCAGATGTCCCAAACCCCCAGAGCGGCCAGAAAACATTCCTAAAGCAGCGACGCTCGACCATCATCATCATCATCATCATCATCATCATCATCATCATCATCATCATCATCATCATCATCAGCAGCAGCAGCATCATCAGCATCCTCATCCACATCCTCATCATCATCATATCATTATAATCATCATCATCATCATCATCATCATCACCATCATCCTCATCCCCATCCTCAGGAGCATCATCATCATCATCGTCATCATCATCATCCTGCACCTACCCCCTCCTCCTCTTCCTCCTCCTCCTCCTCTTCCTCCTCCTCCATTCCTTTTCCTTATAAGCAGCTTCTCCCTGTTGCACCCCGAAGCAAGTTTTTAGTGCGGGCCGGGCGTTTCGCCTGATACTTCCTGACCACCCATAGCACTGAAGCCTACAAATTGTCGACAGCTTCACAGATGGAGGGCGGGTGGTGTTCAACATGTAGTTCTCGCCTTAGCGCCGCGCACATTCATTATAGAATTGTGCGCAAAATTTTGAAGGGGCTTCAAAATGTGGCCCTCGCCATAGCGCCGCGAACATGCGTGTTGAACACTCCGGAAGAGCTTCACGGATTGAGGGCGGGTGGTTTTCAACAGGTGGTTCTCGCCTTAACGCCGCGAACATGAGTTTAAACCAATTGCAAGGGCTTCACTGGTCGAGGGCGGGTGGTTTTCCACATGTGGTCCCCGCCTTAGCGCCGCGCACATGCGTTTTGAACAATTCGTAGAAGCTTCACGGATTACAGGCGGATGGACTTCAACATGTGGCTCTCGCCCTTAGCGCCGCGCGCATGCGTTTAGAAAATTTGCACGAGCTTCACGAAATGAGGGCGGTTCCTTTTTAAAATGCGGCTCTCGCCGTAGCGCCGCGCACATTCGCTTTTTTTCCTGCAAGAATCTTCGCGTTTTTTCTTTTTAAAAAATGTTTTTTGTTATTACGCAAAAAAATCCCATGATCAGCGTATCAGACATCGGGTTTTGGTGAAATTCGCGACCATGAGGGTGCAACAGTTACCTTGGCTCGAGGTGTAGAAGTCCGAGGAATTGCGTTCTAGTGCGTTTCAAGGCCGAAGAGATGCAACAATCAAGTTGGTCCGTTGTGCTGAAACCCCGGGAACAATGTTTGGCACGCTTCAGGAACTTCAAACGGTTGCCTTCCAACCGGGCAGCTCCGTCAATGGAAATGAACACTCGTAGGGGCGTATGAAGTGGGAGCTGGGATGCAGGGTACATTCCAACATCATTGATGACTCTTGGGTGTACACTGGTTTTCCTCCTTCTCCGTTTCCTCTTCCTCTTCCTCCTCCCCCATCTATCAAACATCGACCGTTCGACTTGCCGACGACAGCGGGGCACACGAATGCGACTGCACGTCTGAAGCTCGCTGGGATGGACGAAACCACGCACGGCGATCAGCCACATCACACGACACCGAAGCCTCGGGTGACATCGCCTCTCACCAAAGAAAAAATATGCAGACATGCTCGTCGCTGCAGCGGCCCGTGCGGGCACTGCCTCTCGCCACTGCGGCTGTGCGCTACCACGGCGTTTGCTCGCAATTCTGCGGGCAGTCAAGCGGAACAGCGGAGAAGACCCCAACATCCTTGTCGGCCCCAGGGGGCCCCAGGAGTCCCCTCATACTAGGCCCCTGCAGCATCACTGTTCGCTCCGTTGGCAAGGAAACTGGAAGTGAATGGCCTGCCTATCTGCTTTACGAGTGGGGGGCGAGTCGAAAAGGGGTTGACATGCTGGTAGAGGCAGGGGAGCGACGAGGAAGGGTGGATGCTAAAAACTGTGACCGGCCGGGCGCGGGGGACGGGTCTGCGAAGGCTTCGGCATGAAAGAAATCGACTGCGTCCTCATCGGCGGCGAACTCATCCTCCGCGTCGGCGAAGGGGAGCTCATCACTATCCGAGCAGAGTGTGCAGCATCTGCAGAAGCTTAAGTCGCAGGCGGAGCTGGCGCCGATGATGGCCCGGTGCTAGTTCCTGGGAAGGTCTCTCCTGCTGTGAACTTTATCCTGCGATCCGTCTGAAGTGCTCCAGCCAGACCAAGATCTCCTCCTCCATCCAGCCCGCAGGGGGGGCGGGGCCCACGCGGTGGCGAGCGCCGCCCTCGGCCCTGAGGCCGTCGATCACGAATTGACGAGCTGGCCAATCGCACGCGACGATCATCAGCTTGGCGATGTTGCTGTCGCGTGTCTTCTCGAGTCTCATAAAGGAGACCTGGGACAGGAGTTGCTTCGCGCCCACCGCGGGCTCGATATGCTAATCGGTCGGCTGGCACTCCTCCAGGCAGTCGCTGATCTGCTGGCTCGCTCTGCCGCCGACCTCGCGAGAGGCCAAGACTTCCAGCATCGCCAGGGCCCAAGAGGTAGTCGGCGGGCCGCGCTCCTGGAGCGACTCCTTGTTCTTGTCCGTCTTGACGCCGTTGACTCTCATGCGAAAGGCCCTCCAACTCGTCGCCGACGCAGGTGAGAAGCGGGCGGGTCGTCTCCAGGGCCCAGGCGTCGACCGCTGAGCACATTATCAATCAGATCTTCTGCGCGCGTGTAAAGTGAGGGTCCTCAACAACATCGAGTGGGGCTGGGGGTTCCTGTCTTTGTTGGTCCAAGCCTTGTCCGCGTGGGCCTCGGCGTGCTCGACGTCCTCCGCGACGGCGAGCTCGGCGTGGTTCTTCCGCATTGTCCTCCCCCTGCTTCCCGGCGTCGTTCACGTCCTCGTCGGCCTCCGCGGCGGCCTCGCCCTGTTGGGTGCCTGTCACTTTCTGGCGTCTGGTTGTCGGCTCGCCGTCCTTGGAGCCTCTGCCAGAGTTGCCAGACTTGGTCGAGGGCGGCGGCGGGCCTCTCCACGCCGCGCGCCCCCCCTCCGTCGGCGGCGCCGTCTGTCCCCGCCATCTTTTGCAGATAACGGTTCAGCCCGGCTTCGGGCGGGGGGGCCTCGATGCAAGTGCAGGGCGGGCAGCCGAAGTCGCGCAGTATCATGCAGCGCCCAGCTCGGTTCGCCGAAGCGCCTTCAGCGCGACCCGCCGGTCGCGCAATCGCTGGCTCGACGCTGCGAGTGGCGCCAAGTAGTCGGTCAGCTGCCAATCGCGCTCCGCGCCGAAGTTGGGCAGCATCAGAGCGGTCTTCGAAGCCCGCGCCGGCGAGGGCGGCGGCCTGACCGACTCCCCTCGTCGATGGGCCGCGCGCGCAGAGCGCGGGGCTGTCGAGCAAAGGCCGCGCGGCGACGGGGGGGTGCGCGCGCGGAGATGCGTTCTGAGCTCTTCTGGATCCTGGGAATTACGCTGGCAAGCTACAGCTGCACTAGCGTGCGCGAATGGGCACCTGGCGCGCGCTGACGGGGTCCACGCGCGCGCATGCGGCGCGCGATCGACGAAACAGCGCCCCTCCAGCATCGAGCAACAATAGTGATATTGGAAATGTCAAGTGTTTCCATGCATGTTTCCACATGCGAGGATTTCAGTGTCCATCGTGATCGTCGAGAGGACGGCGTTCGTGCCATGTCCTGACAGTGTTGCAATGGTTGGGCAACATATATATATATATATATATACATACATACATGCATACATACATACATATGCTGGAAATGTGTAGACTTTCTTCGCGAGGCCCTCGATGACGCAGACGAACGGAAGGGGTCTCCAGGGTCGCCGTCGGGATCTCCAGGAGGCTCGCCAGCAAGAAGGCGCCGTGCGCGTTCGAGAGGGGCCCAATACTGCGACGCGCGCGCCTGGCGGAGGGGCCGAAACTCGCATTCTGGAAGGCCCCCCGGGCTTCGGGCGTCTGAACTAGCTCCTTAACGTTCGAAAGGATGCCTCAGAGCACGTCTATGTCGTCGGCGACGGGGGCTTCGGAGGCACTCTGGGAATCTGCTCGTTGCAGGAAGGTCCAGGGGCGCACCGTGGCCTTGGAGCTCAGGGGCCCATCGGCTGACAACGCAGGAGCAACAGCGAGGGGGGGGCCTGGGCCGATATCGGGTTTTCGATTGCGCGGCGGCAGGAAAAAAAAACAGCAGGAAATTGATCGCGACGCTGCGCTTCATTCCTCAGGGCTTGCCACCGCTGCAGTCTGCGCGCGCGTGGCTCAAGAGCGGCGGGGGCGATCCCCCCGTG